TTGTCATTGTGGGTGATTTGTCATTGTGTAATTTTTGGTTTTTATTTTGTTTTTCAACCTGTGTTCAACCTTGCATTACTAAAGAATTAGAAATATAATGTTATTATACTTCTCTAACCATTACATTGGAATGACAACAAGTAACTTCATTTGGAAATGGAATGGATACCCCATTTTGGAAAATGAGGCTTCAGTTAAAAAAATAACAACAAGGATCAAAAAGAAATACAACAAATTTGAGAAGAAGTTTATATATAGTTAACATTTATTTGTGCCTGGTATGAATTGCATGGAGAGCTCTCACTTCTGGTTGGGATAGAATTTGGATGTTCAGCAACCAGAATTAGTTTTACGAATAATCTTCAGTTATAATAGATGCCGCCATCGATAATTTTTCATACACTGTTTCACACAGTGAAAATCTGAGAATGTGATGCTGTGACATTTTCCTCAGATAGGCTCAAAATGGATGATAGCATCTCACAGCATCTGTATTTTTCATAATTGAGAGTACTCTCCAGATAGAATGAAGGGGTTCAGGTATTGGACCATAATATGTTTTACCTAAAAATGGGGTGTTCCATCGCGAGTGGCAGACAATGTATATCACTTTGGCCAACCCCATTCAGGTGGTAGGTGCATTTTGAGCATTTCCATGAGTCCTGAGAGTTTCATCGTTTTACCTCGAATATTACGGAAGATATGGGGGTGTTTCCATGAGAAGTGAAACACACTGTATATGTGTTTTAAATGAAACAACTTGCTTATGACATTGCATTTATCAACCCCCTCTCCTGATATTGAGCTTAGTTTTGTACAGGGTATCTCAACAAAAATTTTTTCAATTCCTGAAAACGCTTGGCTTCCTTCTACCGAGGAAGCTACAGTCTTAGCGAAACGTGTCTAAAAATAAAAATGTTTGTGAAAACTGTGTTGTTATTATCAAGGTTTTTTATATTACTTTTCTCAAGATGCTCTGATAAGTTTTTCTACAGGTGAAACAATATTTATTGAGATAATTCTGCGAAAAGGCTTAGTGGTGCACTTTCTTTTGGCTTTACGATTCTACAAACTGGACTGAAGTACAAAATAAGAAATAGAGTTCTCGCAACTTACCAATAAAACACTGCCCCTCTCTTTTTGTTGGTTCAACTGATCTGCTTTCAATAAAGTGGGCATTTCGTGTCTCATAAGTAAAGTTTTCACCTGGGTTGTTGTTAAATCTGTTATTCGGTAATTCAAATCTCCTAGCCAATATACCTGCCTTGAAAAAAAGTTTTTTTTTTTATTACTGAAACAACTTTGTAGCCATTTTTCATTCAAAAAGTAACAGATTTTAGTTTTTTAAAAGATGTTGGTGATCCCTTTTTCTTGTCTTATAGTGGACACAGTATAGTATAGTGTAGTATAATTTTATCATTTGAAAAACTTCATACAAAAGGTTTCTCACAATTTAGTATGTTCAGTAAGAATACGGAGCAGCAGAGTGTCGGATACAAAAATATACCTAAGTCACAAGGCGGTGTGAAAATACTGTTAGAATGCAGCAGAAAGCATACACAAAACTGAATTAACGATAGATAAACAATTCCTAGAAACCTATATAAAAAAAGATATATTGCTTACACATGATATCCAAATTAGGAAATTTGGTATTAGCTGTAGTGAAAGTGGAATTGAAACAGTCACAGGCAGTTTATTCATATTCTTAGTCTTCTTCACATTGATTTTCAGCCTGTTGGGCATCGTCAGTACAGGGCAGGCGGTCTTCGATTGAAGACAAAATGTGACAAACCAAGAACATTTTTGGATTTCCATCATTTTTGTATTCAGTATTCACAATTCTAAGGGTTTTATCAACCAGAACATTGGCGAACAAACTCACAAAATCGAGAATCATCAGTAGATCTCTGTTTAGAATTCGTGTTTTGTTAAGTTTTTCAATAAAGTCAGAAGTATTCTCTATGTAACAGTTTCTAATTCCAGACGGAGGTTTCAAAATTTGGAGACTATATTTCACAAGATTAGATTGAACTGACAATCAATCTCAGAGAACAATTTTGAACACATACCTAATCTCTCAAAGCATTAAATGGAAGAACATGTCCTTTTGTTATAAATTGACTTCGTTCATCATAATCAAATGTTCAACTCACTCATGATCCTTAATTGATTGAGGGGTTCTCCTGAAGTTCATCCTGGCATTAATATCTTTATAATCTTGGTTTCTCCTCTCATATTCCTCCACATGGGCTGCTAAATGACAATTCACAAAGCAAAGTGAAGTGTTGTGAAGTTCCAATCGAACACCTACCCCTCCTTTATTACCCTTCAATAAAACACAAAATTATAGTTTATTATATGATTTTCACTATAAAGGTTTTTACAAAAACCGCGACACGTGTAAATATACTTAACTATTCTTACCTGGAAATAAACAGATTAAAAAATGGCGAATTATTCAGTTCAGTTTGATCGTTCATAAGATATTGAGAATTTTTGAATTTGATTAGTTCCATACACTCCAACAGGTTAAGTTTCAAACCTTTCGTCTGAAAATGGAGGGCTTGAAATCATAGTTGAACTCATGTCCCTCTGTGATTAAATAAGTGGCATATGTGGAATTTATTTTTCCATTCTGGAAACTATTTTTGTGATCCTTTATGCAGGCTTTGAACGTTCTTCCAGTTTGACCTATATAAAACATCGGACATGACCCACTAAATAATTTATACACTCCCGATTTTTCTGAAACTGAACTTTCATATTTGTTATTCCTAATGTGCATGCCTAAGTTGTTGTTGGTTTTGAAAGCAACATTTACATTTTGTTGTTCGTACCAGTCGGCTATAGTATCCCTGGTTGGGGGCAATTAGTTCTGTGTTTTCAAACAAAATTATGTGGTCTCCTTCACTAAGCGCGTGTTCTGCCACAGCTGACTTGTCCGCTTGGCCTAGTCTGCAGTTCCTTTTATGCTCTTTCAGTCTTGTTCCCATGGATCGTTTGGTGGTTCCGATATATACCTTCCTACTAGTGCACCGTATGCGATAGACACCTGCTGCTGATAATGGGTCTCTTTTGTCTTTAGCCGACCTGAGGCTTTGTTGTATCTTTTTCGTGGGTTAGGAGTAATACTGGGAAACAGATTCTTTACATCGAATGAAATCAATCTGGCATTATCCGGGAGTGTAATATCTTGAATTTCATTGATCAAATGGTATGAATTCTTCAAATTGAATTTTGGTTTGAAATTGGTGTGGTTTTGAATAACTGCAATGAGATTTTCGGATATTTCAACTGAAGGAGCTGTGATAAAAGAAACTACCGGTATAATCGGGTAGTTATCTTTGTATAATTAAATCAACGAATAAAGTTTAGGTGGTTGTGGGTTCATAACTAACAATCTGAGTTTTTCTGTTTCATCCATGACACAATGAATGATTTTTAAAGTTACCTTGACTTCTTTCTGATATAAATAGGTGGGGTCGTTTCTGAGACTATCGTACATGCCAGCATTTAGAAAGTCTATAGTCAGTCTTCTATACGCATTCTTCTTTGTTCATGGCTATGACCGTTTTGCCTTTATCAGCTCGCGTGAAAACAATGTTATTTGCCGCCGATTACTCTTTTATGGATTTAACTAGTTTCAATTCCGGATTCAACCAACCTTTATGCATCTTTTCAGATTTTAAAATTTCTGCAGTAATATATTCATTGGCGTAACATGTCCCCATCAACGCAATATCTGTATCAATTTAGTTAATGAATTCATACCTGACCGTTTCAGGTAGATTCATTCATTAGAAAGTAGGCATACAATTAGGTAATATGTTAGAGTAACAAATAATTGGCAAGGGACCTGTACGAACTAGTACAGGGAACAATGTTGTTGGAATTGGTGTCATGAAAAACATGGGGGAAATGGAATAAACTCATGAGGCTGCAGGGTTTTCCAGAGACTTGGGAGAAATCGACTTCACATCATCACTTTGAAAGTATACTGGTTTTTTTAAAAGACGACTCTTTGGAGTGTGAACACGAACATACAAGAGTTTTCAAATGTGGACAAATATAACAGTGATGAGTTTCAAAGTATGATTAGATTATTCCGGAAAAAAAATCCTATTGACAGCTAACGACAAGTGAAATAAGTGGCATAATTATAAAAATGTAATGAAAACATTGTGTTCTGTTTTGATTTTGAATTATTAATTGGGTTGTTAAATTTGAATATGCTTACCACTCACTTATTTATTAAGAATCCAAACATAGATGTAATGTCGGTGAGAAGGAATAAGTCATAACAATAATATGACATAAGACAACAATGAGAAATTGCACATCTATGAAATTATATACAAACAATAAATAAGTAAAATAAAACAATAAAATAGGACAATAAAATGAGCAAAGTGATGAACAAATACCAAAATAAATGAGAAAAATATTTCAAACTAAATTACTTAACGACATTTTCAATGTTGCTCATTTTTTTAACAATACCCTTGTTTTGTAACTAAAGCGAATATTTTGCTCCGATTATTCATAGTATTTTCGATAATTTCAACAACATATATTTCAATTTTATTTCATTTGTTTTTCCATAGATTTTCAACCTCTTAACAGGATTCAGACAATGGAAGTATGAACTTGTAATATTCAATGGTTTTAATGACTTAGTTTGTTCTTTCACTTTTGTAGTGTTAGTTACATGCTTTACTATAAACCCAAAAACAAGGACTCTTCCCAATCACCAGAACTCTTCTCGACACGCGTTTCGCCTAACAAGTTGGCATCTTCGGGAGATGAAGAACAGTAAATTACAAATATAGATATATGAGTAGGTGAATTAACATAACCAATAATACAGATACAAAGGTAGTTTCTATTTTTATGTATCAATTATTTTATTTAAATAATCTTCTTAACACACTGTGGTGGTTGAATGGTTTGAGACCACATGAAAATATATAAAACTAAGGATTGAAGAATCATGTCAAATCGTGCATTAGCAACAAAAANTTGTCACACTGTCCAAAAATAATAAACAAATTCATAAGAACTTCGTTTGAATAGTTTTGTTCCATCATTTAAAAGGTATTTGAAACTTCTGAAGTGACGAAAATGTCAATGTTATCAGGAGAATGTCACAACATTACTGTCAAATAGTAATCATGGCCTTCTTACAAAAGACCGAATGGGAATACCATTCTGAAGGGACATTTTCACAAATAAATACTCATAAGTCCGAATCTTGACTAGTTAGGTATACGCATGATTTACATAGAAAGAACTGTATTTTTTACCACCCTGTATTGAAGTAACAAAGATTACACTGAAGTGAGGGAAGCCTCCAAGTATCACTTACCTTCAAATCAAATTTCGGTACCACAGTATTCCTTAATTCAAAGATATCAGCATTTTTAGAGGTCACGATTTCTGAAGAATTTAATTTATATTTCGAAAACGGTAACAGGTAGTTATAAGAAAATATCAAGAAAAGTTGTCGGGTAATTGTTGTAGATTCCAACAATAATATTATATACAGGATGTTCTATTTGAAAAATCGAAGTTGCAACTACTTTTTTATGGAAGTGGCAACGCCGCATTGTCGAAAATATTTTAGTTGAAAAGAGAATATCCGAATATTCTCCCCAATAAATTTTAAAAGTGATCCGTTGTCTAGTTCACCAGAAACGTAAACAAAGCCTGTAAACAAAGTTCACCCCAAAAAGTTACTGCTTAATATAAACCACTAAAGAGTCCAATTAGTCAGTAACTTGTTGTATTCATTAATATTGCCTGCAAATTGAAAAAATTGATTGAAAAAATTTAAATACTTATACTTAGCTTTCTTTAGTGGTCGACGTTTCGGAAAACAATCTTTTTTCGTTTTCAAAACCTAAAATTCACTTTAAAACTTTTGTCACAAATTGTGAATAGCTTTAATTCTTTTGACATATGATGAAGAAGAGAATGTCCAGATGTCATATGTGATAGTCTACATGAATACATATACTGGATGTTTTTTGAGAATTCAGTTAAGATTCGTATTTCTGTTTTCATCCTCTCTTCTTAGTAATGGCAACCAGGTTAATAAATATCTAACTAATTTATATGTGTGTATAGGTTCTATAATGTTCAAACTATTCGACTGTTCATACTATCTTTTTGAATATGTAAAATTATGTATTTACTTGTCATTGTGGGTGATTTGTCATTGTGTAATTTTTGGTTTTTATTTTGTTTTTCAACCTGTGTTCAACCTTGCATTACTAAAGAATTAGAAATATGTTATTATACTTCTCTAACCATTACATTGGAATGACAACAAATAACTTCATTTGGAAATGGAATGGATACCCCATTTTGGAAAATGAGGCTTCAGTTAAAAAAATAACAACAAGGATCAAAAAGAAATACAACAAATTTGAGAAGAAGTTTATATATAGTTAACATTTATTTGTGCCTGGTATGAATTGCATGGAAACCTAATTTTCATATGTAAGGTGTTATATTTTGGAAGTTGATAGGTTAATAATTGTAAGTAGTGCTTTTATCACCAACTGGTCTCAAAATAAAGTTTTCTCTAAATAAATTTTTTTGTCAAAATTATTTTCAAAGTACTTACTACCATTCTGCTTCACGGGGTGTATCATTGAAAAGAAATGCTTCTTTACTCAAATCAATTTCTTGGAATCCTACAGCATAAAGATCAGGAGGATTTTCATCGCTACTCAACCATGACCGTAATGAAACTGACGGGGGTTGGCCATTGACATTCCAGGTGCCGACAAATATCCTGCAAAAACTTTCTCCAGAGGTGTCAACAAAATATGGGCTACTTACGAAAACTCTTGTTTTTGTGTAAAGTCTGGTTCTTTCAATTTGAGCTGATATTTCAACATAGATTCTCGATTAATTGAAGTTTGACCTTGAGCAATATGTTGTCTAGCTATTGGTAAGTCAGCCTGTAAAGAAAAGATTCTATGATCTCTGAAGTTTTTTTATTTCCTTTACATACCTGATCATCAGAATTTACAGTACGATTTGAATTATTCATGGTTCCTATGTACTTATCCAACCAAACAAATACTGGTTTGTTATATAGGGAAACTGAAAATAACATAGGTAAATGATGAACTACTTATGGTTCATATAATGATTACCTTCTTTTGAGCGAATTACCTCTGAGGCAAAATTAGAGCTTTCTACACCTATCTCAATTTTGAATGCACGCTTAATTTTTTTATAGATAATAATGAAAATAATATGGCTCTGGCTATCTTCTATAGGTTCAGTATCTGCAATACAGAAAATGACAAATGCAAAATGGATGTTTTCAATATAATGTTACCACAAGAAAAAAATTCATCTACTGGAATAACGGTTTCAATGGAAAGATCAGAAATGCTTGACGGTTTTTTTCTGGCTGAAATCAATATAAATAATGCAAAAGATTTATTATATTCCACTAATGCTAAAATCCTGTTTTCATCGCACCAGTTGTCACCAAGAGTAGATACATTAAGATGAATCTGTATTTTGTTGAGGTATTAAAAAAAAAAGAGTTTGTGAAAATGGTTCTATTTCAAAAGGATACACTCCTAACTACCTCAGCAGACAAAAATTTTGCCTGCACAATATTAACAACATCTCGATGAACAGATAACATAATAATCCTGCTTTATCACAATTAGTCCATATTAAGATAATTTATTTTAACCCTACAATAATCAGATTTCAAGTTGAAATAAAAATTTGTAATTCTTCAAATTTCGTTTGAAAACGTCAAAAATCCTAACCTTACTTTACATTAGTTGAGTCATTTGTCATAAAATTCAACCAACAACAACCGCTGGCCACTGGCTGCGTACAGAGGACAAAAAATTGGAGTGCGCATGCTGAAGATTGCGAAGTAAAACGCTTTTTAAATCAATTATAGGGTATATTTCTTTGTCAAATTTTTAGTTCCTTGTTACAGATCATTTATTAATTTCGGAATAGTAAATTCATGTTCATATCAGTTGGCTGTGAATGACATATGTTAAAAAAAGTCAAAAAGCATAAAAAAATATAGATTGGTATCATCTTGAAAAATAAATAAGTATAAAAGGAAATTACATGATCTTTTAACTGCATTAGATAAAATATAAATATAGTGTATACAGCTCACAAATAAATACTAAGAAGAAAACGTGTCTGAATATCTGAGAAGATGAATTTTACTAGTTCGGATTTCCATTGTCTAATATTATATAATATGATTTAAAATGAATAACTGAAAATAACAATTTTATTGAGCAATAAATACATTAAAACGAAAATAATCAAAAAAATTGAATAAAAAACGAATTAAAAATTAAAAAGATTTCAAACCAAGTTACTTTCGACGTTTCGATTGTTAGTATCCACAATCGTCTTCGGGTGATGACTCCGAGAGTTGACTATTTAAAGGTCATTCGAACGCTTTCACCAATGCCCTCTTCTTCACCGGTTTAGTGGGAGTTGACAGTTTTTCCGCTTGATTGAAGGTTTTTATATATGTTGCGTATCTCTACGCTAGCTCTGCTGAAATGCCTCAAATGCGAATAGCAGGGCATGTTTGGACTTCTCAACATAACATCAAGCACTCCCAAACTTATATCATCCACAGGGAAGAACACTGGTTCGAAAGGAAGTTCAAAGAAGCTGCATATATGTTGTCCAACGACGCATTCAGCCAAGCTACCGTAGAAATATGCAACATATGGAAAACTTCAATCAAGCGGAAAACTGTCAACTCCTACTAAACCGGTGAAGCGGAGAAAGGGAAGAGGGGATAGGTGAAAGCGCTCGAATGACCTGTAAATAATAATAATCTCTTGAAGGATTAGTCCAGTCATCATCCGAAGACGAATGTGGATACTGACAATCTGAACGTCGTGAAGTAACTTGGTTTGGAATTTTCATTCTATTTTCCATTGTTCAATTTTTTTATTAATGAGGGCTCAAAATGTATTAATATGAAACTTTCTGGAGTTCATCAAGGGGCAAAAATCTTTCAAATGAGAGTTTTGAGAACAGTAACAGACTTGTCTTCACGTTCTCAAATCATCATAGTGGATAATTTCAGAAAGTATGTACATTCTCAGGGATTACCTATTCAGGATATAGTAGATGCATAGCCTACTGTTTTCATAGGTCAGGACAGTATTCATTTGATAGTAGCAAGGAAAGATTATCAGGTGCCTGAAAAATAGTGTTGCTATTAAAACTAGTTTGGGATGAGTTATCTATGGCAATTCCTCAGAATGTGATTAAAATGTACACAACTTTCACATTTGTTCTTGCGATAACAATTATGAGCTGAATCGTCTTGTCAGGGAATCTTCCACTACCGAATCAGTTGTCGTTTCCGTTAATAATATCATTTTCGTGATCCCATACTGTTATTTTGATTTAACTGTATTCAGATGACAATTGAAAAGCCTCCGCCCGTTAAGATTTTGTAACGGCCGGAGGACGTCAAGAGCAACCATGTATGATCATCTGCTTCCAACAAAAACTTAGTTACTTCTTCTTCAGACAAAATTTTTGCTTTCTTTGGTGTGTATCCATCAGATTTTCGTCTCAAGAACAAAAATAATTTTATAAATCTCAAAATACAATTTCTGTACTTTAATATGGAGTACGATTTAAAAAACTAACCTTGAAATGTCAATGTTGTTATAAACTTTCAAAGCAAGTATATGTGGTTTGTGCTTTCCTAGGAATTAAAATGTCATCTCTCAGCAGGATTACGAAAAGTCTTGAACGACACACGACCGATACGCAAATAACGGATTCGGTTATTATACTGTATTCAATCTCATCCGTTTTTGCTACATATCAAACTAGTAACGTTAATAACTATATTGATATTGCTCACAGAAGATCTCTTGATATTTGGAATGAAACTAAAGTTTATTTAGAAGATGGAAAATACTACCTTCTTACCTTTCCATGTGCGATTCCTAGCACAGGTTTGACAATCGGTAGTGAAAAATCAATCATATCCGGCCTCGCGGCTCGAACTACCTGACGGTCGATTGAAAGAATGGAAACAGTGGAACAAACCACTCATGACAACCCAACCAGCAACCGTCTCACCACCAATATTTCATAGAGTGAAAATTCGCAAGGAGAAGAGATGTGCGAAGGAGTTTTCTTTGGCGAAATGGCGAGCAACATAGGCAGGTAGATGAATACGAGTTACAAGTGATGATGTTCGGTGTTTTTGTTCTAATATGAAACTTTCTGGAGTTCATCAAGGGGCAAAAATCTTTAAGGACGATTTAAAAAACTAACCTTGAAATGTCAATGTTGTTATAAACTTTCAAAACAAGTATATGTGGTTTGTGCTTTCCTAGGAATCAAAATGTAATCTTTCAGCAGGATTACGAAAAGTCTTGAACGACACACGACCGATACGCAAATAACGGATTCGGTTATTATACAGTATTCAATCTCATCCGTTTTTGCTGCATATCAAACTTGTAACGTTAATAACTATATTGATATTGGTCACAGAAGATCTCTTGATATTTGGAATGAAACTAAAGTTTATTTAGAAGATGGAAAATACTACCTTCTTACCTTTCAATGTGCGATTCCTAGCACAGGTTTGACGATAGGTAGTGAAAAATCAATCATATCCGGCCTCGCGGCTCGAACTACCTGACGGTCGATTGAAAGAATGGAAACAGTGGAACATACCACTCATGACAACCCAACCAGCAACCGACTCACCACCAATATTTCATAGAGTGAAAATTCGCAAGGAGAAGAGATGTGCGAAGAAGTTTTTTTTGGCGAAATGGCTAGCAACATAGGCAGGTAGATGAATACGAGTTACAAGTGATGATGTTCGGTGTTTTTGTTCTGCACAATATGTTAAAAATGACTGATGAAGCAACAAGGATCACAAATTCATCAAATACTGACGCAAATTGCAATAGTTGTTGGAATTTGAATGATTTATTACCAGGCTTCGATTTTTCAAATTTTCTGCTTGATGATGAAAATGAGAGAAAACCCGCCGAATATTTTGTTGGTTTCAATATTTCATACTTTGACTACCTTCCAGAAGCACACCGGTTTTCTAAATGGCGAATCCCTCAGAGAAGTGCAGCATTGATATACGATTGCTATATGAGGTTTTGCAGACTTCTTCTAAAAGCATCCTCTTGGGAAAACAAATATTTTTTCTGGAGAATTAACTATCGAGGAAATAGATGATGTGAAGGGATTTTATCTGAAAAAAATTCATTAGGAGAACTTTGGCAAGGAAATTAAATTACTGAAAGCAAAAGGTCAGCGTTCATTGATGATAATGGACTTCTGTAAATGCAAACTAGAATCACCCAGACTCTTTTTATGGGTGAACCGATGAAGAAACCTGTAATTTTAGATCACAAAAATGCTATTGTTAATCTGATATACGTTAGAATTTTGGAAGACAAGCTATGAAAAATACTTTTTATAAGTGTCAAATACACCGAAGATGGAAAGTTTGCCAATTATGCGCCACTCATCAGGCTTGAAAGTATTTATTTACACTGGTATTGATTTTTTCGTTCCCTTGTATGTCACGGTTGGGAGGCACAAACGAAAACGGTGGGGAGTTTTTTCACTTGTATGACAATTTGTGCAATACATTTGAAAATGGGAGACTCCCTTACTGCTGACGGTATAATCATGACCATAAGAAGGATGATATTCCGCCGGGGTCCAATCACACGCCTTTCTTCAGATAATGGCACATATTTCAAAGAAGCTTATGAAGAATTTTTTAAATTGTATCTTGAACTTGATCACCATGAGAAAAGGTTAATATGCTCAGTCGAGAAAATTTTGGAAGTTAGGAGCTTCAAACGAGAAATCTCCTAGTAACTTTGTTTTGTGGTAATCAAGTCACTAGTATCGTGAAATTTTTTGACAGTACCTTAGGTGACAATAAGTAGTACCTATCATGAAATTGTTTTTGCGCGCAAACACGTTTGTATCATCAACAAATTATTTTAGCGCGCAAACACGTTTGTATCAGCACATATACCATCAAGTAAATATGAAAAACTCTAAATTAGCTGAAATGCATTTTGTTCATGTTGCGGAAAGGCTGCAGGAGCGCGTTGATAGCAATTTTTCAACAAGTACCCGAAAGTCATCTGCACAGTTCAATGTCAGTCATCGAAGTGTTTGGAAGGTTTTGTATACAAACTTATTGTATCCATACCACAAACAACGGATGCAGGCACTGTTACCGCGAGATTTTCCTAGACGATTGGATTTTTGTCAGTGGTTCCTTCAAAGAATTGTACATAACCTTTATTTCGCTTGCGAAGTTTTATCCACAAATGAGGCAAGTTTTTCAAGGGGTGCCATCATAAACTTTTATAACAATCATTCTTGGGCCTGCGAGAATCCCCATGCTACTGCAGTAAGTGGATTTCAGCAGGCATTTTCTGTGAATGTCAGTGGGAATTTTTGGTAATCAACTCATAGAGCCGCATTTTCTTCCTTCTCGACTCAATGGTGTGGCGTATAGACAAATTGTAAAAGAAACATTGACAGAATAATTGTTAGAGGGTGTATCTTTGCTAATGAGATGGAATATGTGGTTTGTGCACGACGGGGCAACTGATTATTTCAGTATAACCACTCGTGATTATCTTACTGATACTTTTGCTCACTAGTGGATAGGTCGTGGGGGACCTCAACCATGGCCACCTACATCTCTGGACTTGAATTCTCTGGATTATTGTTTTTGGGACACATCCAAAGTTGACTTTTGTCTCCTCTTCATAGTGAGGAATGATAATGGCATTTATACATATATTTTTCAATTGGTTTTGACATTTGGCCTGTCTTACGGAATAAGTAAAAATCATAGATATTATAATTTATATAATTTCTCTATATAAAACATTCTGANGATGAAGAACAGTAAATTACAAATATAGATATATGAGTAGGTGAATTAACATAACCAATAATACAGATACAAAGGTAGTTTCTATTTTTATGTATCAATTATTTTATTTAAATAATCTTCGTAACACACTGTGGTGGTTCAATGGTTTGAGACTACATGAAAATATATAAAACTAAGGATTGAAGAATCATGTCAAATTGTTCATTACTGCATTAGCAACAAAAATATTACCATTTTTCCCAATAATCCAGTACCAACTGTGTCAACGGAAATATTTTTAACATAATGGTAGTGCTGACTATTCACCATGACCACTAACTGCATTCCCACAAGTCTAGCCAATCCTACCAATTTATATTTTGCTTTGGGATGTACTCCTTCTAGCACATATTTGCTGAAAGAAAAATAACAGTGAAAGAAAGATGTAGTAATTGTTTACATTTCCAATTTTTTGACAATATCTCCTTCGAACATCTAGTTCATTAGAAAAATATATTTTTACAGATAAAACTGAATGAATAGATCATAACCATTAACATAATAAGAAACAGGTTATTGAAATTCCACCTTCGTGTTCATAAAAATATATTAACCAACAAAATGAAGCACACTGTTTTTTAATTTTTGAGAATTGAGAAGATCAAGAAAATATGTTTTCATTAACAACCTCAGGAGCTGACGAAATATGAAGTGCATTTTAGCATGAATCTGCAACCCCTGCCCCCTGCAGCCGGGGCATTAAAATACCCCTGCCGGATAAGGTGTTGAAGAGACTGATGAGACGAATTTTAAAATTTTAATTTTTTCGAAAATGAATGACTGGTTGCATTGTAATAAATGTTCCACAAAGTTTCAGCCTCCTATGAAGTTATTTTTGTCAGAATGCGGTCACATATTTTGTGAAAAATGTGGAGAAAATATAAGTAAGTTTGTTATGGCTGAAATTGAAATTTCCTAAATTTAATCATTTTCAGAAGAGTCCAAATGCCTTATATGTGATAAAACATCCAATTTCATTCCTATATCTAAAGATATGGACATAAGTGTACAACAATTTTTCATTCCTCTCGATCTGCAAATTAAAAAATTGTCAGAGGTGAGTATTTTTGAACTAATGAAAGTTTTTGTATGAACGTTGTTTCATTTACACAACCTATTTTTCAGGTGTACAATTTTCAAATGCAACACAGAATGAGAATGTTTCAAACTTTAGCTCAAAAGTATGCCTTTGCTAAAAAAGAATGTATCAATGTCCACAATAAAAATAAAAATTTATTGAGGGAGAACAGAACGTTGAAGAATATGTTGATGGTTTGTGAGATTTTGGAAATTTTCAAGAAATAATTTTGATCTAATCTATATTTCAGTCTGCCACTCGAAATAATAACCTGCCATTCCTAACAAGTACTCCGGCTTTAACCAACGATACTTCTCAAATGGATGATATGTCAGTTGTATCTTCAATACCGCCATTTACCCCAAGTGTGTCATCTAGACCTGGTCACTTACAGAGAATTCAAAACAATGATAGCAACATTAGAGCTTCACATTATCCTCCGGTGAGTACCTATAATAATTGAACTCTAGTAACAGATTACATATTCTGTGAAAAAAGATTTTATTTCAATGAAAGGAATATGAATAGAATTCGATAATAAACTAATGAATGAAGAATGAAAAGAGGTTTACAAATTGAAAAAATGAGAATAAATCAGCATATTTGAAAAAAGAGATGAATATTTTAATATAAGTACCTATATGTACTATATGAGTAGGTGTGTGCATATTTCATGGTTGGTTTCTTCAAAGGTTTTTTTTTCATATCATTAGAAAATATTTCAGTCCTAGACAGAGTGTTTTTTTTGAACAAGTCATTTCTTACTCACCGAGTAATACGGATAAGTTATAGTTTTATCTCAACACTTTAAAAATAAAAAACACTTCAGTAGGGTGCATAAAGATCAAAGTAAAAATTATATTTCAGTATATCTATAACTTGCCAAAATTGATGAGATGGTTTATAGGATTATAACAAAATAATAATAATCTGCGTTGAAAAGAGGACATAATATGCCAGTCATGTGTACGAATCGAACGAAAATTTTCAGGAATTAAAATCATTTTTCATCTTATGACACTTATATACCTGAATTTTTATATTTCGAAAATAATGAAGAAAATTTTGTGTTGTAATTTCAACAAGTGCAAGAAACATAAATACGCTGTATTCTCAGTGCATTAGGATTTTTAGTAGGAACTTGAATAACAAGAATATCACTTTTTACCATTCAGTTTGTGCTACAAACATTGAAAACAGATATTATTCATAGGAACGCTTCTCAATACAATATATAAAAGACTAACGATATAAAATTTCACGTACGTATAACATTATCGTCCTCAATTACGTACTTCGCAGTTCCGGAATAAGACACTTGTCTTATTACCCCATCAGCACTGTTCTGGATAACATTACGTTCATTTTTTTCATAACATAATGACTTTATGTTACTGGAAGAGACAAATGCTCTTGCCACGATCTCAGATGTACACACATTCATACGGTTAGTTAATCCTAGTTATAAAAATTTTATTTGAATTGAAATGGAAATATTTTCAGAAGGTATGAGTTTTTTGGAAAATGGCTTGTTCGTTCGTTTGTATCTAAATGAAAGTTCAGGGTGTGCTCTACATATTTTTATAATTTTTATTGTAGTTTTTTCCTAAAAAACTATCTCTTCTAAAACTGTTTCCTTCTATTTCTATTCCCAGTGATTGTTACCTCTTCATTTCAGATGATATTTCTTTGAGTTGAAAACTACAAGAATTTGGTTGAAAGACGATCTCTCAAATCGTTATTGTTGTATTTTCGACAAAATCATTTTACGAGTGATGCTGCAGTGGTGTTTGAATAGGTACTCTTCTGTCTTCCAGAAAGTATTAGAATACTATTCTGATCATTCCCATATTGATTTCAATTTAAGAGCCACCGGTAGACAGCTGTTTCAGCCTATTGGGCATCGTCAGTACCGGACAGGCGGTCCTCGAATGAAGACAAAATGTGAATAACCAAGAAAAGTACCTGATAAAAAAGTAACTGCGTAAACGCAAGCGAGACATAAGTGAAACCACCTACTGGTGTGACACCTACATCAACTTGCCAAGTTTTTATGTCAGCGTTGGCGGTTTGACCAATCAATCGATGGCATTCCAGGATAGCTTCCTGAGTTTCTGATACTTCAGTTGTCGGTTGATTGGTCAAGCCACCAATACTGACATAAAAACTTGTAGCAAGCGCCAAACGTAATGGCGAGCGATCGCGCGGGTATAAACTCTCCCAACTAAATTCCTATTGGATTACGATAAGCTCTTTGCCGGCCAGGGTCGTTCCTATAATTAGTTTCAATTAAGGTAGCAAATGGAACGTGACTTCTTTGTAATTTTTTTCATATTTCATTCGGTATTATAGGTAGTAATACAGTTCATTAAAATGTTATATAATGACAGGTTTTTTATTAGGCGATGGATTTTTTTCAGAAACAACACAAATTATTCAGGCAATGCTAAACGCCAACAGCATTAGAGGACAAGTAATGATACGCCTCTGTACAGGTAGCATTTCTGTCTTGCAGGAGCCATAGTAGAAGTTAAATTGAAAATGAGTTTGTGCGCATGGGGGAAGGCTTGCCATCACGTTTGGCGCTTGCTGTATATTTTTCATTACTTGCATTTGTAACTAACGTTATTTTAGTTATTGGACGAAACTGCAGTAACGTTGATTTCAAATACAAGTGGTAAAAAAACATAGAATATTTTATTTCTCATTTTTCATTCATTTTTGATTTTACTATGTCAATAAAGTGAAAGTGTTCTTGGAAACTTACCTCAAAGTCATATTACGATATAAAATGGGATACTGAAATCTCTTTATTCTCTCTTGCTTACGTGGATCGTATGAGATGTTGCAACATTTTTATTTACCATGTATCATGTATCACAATTTCTGTTTCTTTTTGTATATGTTCTAAATCACTCATTACATCAATCTCGGAAAGACTTCTAATTGCAAATGCGTGTTAACGCCTAAAACTTTCAAAGACTGATATCTCGACAACGAGAAGGAAGTTACTTCGAGAGTGAACTATTTCCAAAGCTTGATAAAAAAAAAAGTAAATCAATTTTTGGGGAAACCTCCTCAAAACCATTAAGATAAATAACTCTATGACGACTCAAGCTAAAACATTAGTTGAACACCGCTCTTTAAGAAATTTCAAGTCCTAATTTGTGTTGATTTGGCAAGGAAATTATCAAAAAGGCATTTCATCATTCAGTGTAATATGTTTCCAATGAAATATCAATTTTCAGATAATGTCCTCATCATAAAAACATGTCTGAGTTATTATGTCGTTTCAGGAAAAATTCATTCGCTAATCTAACATTGTTAATGATTGATCGACCAATAAATAATCCGGTATGGTCGTTCGTGCCCGTTGACACCGGTTTGTTATGGCCCTTTATTCGAATATGAACAGATAAAATTTAATTTGATTCGAAATAATTGGAACAATTCAAACGCCTCGTGGATTTTAGGACGATTTCACAAGTGTCTGCTTTGAATCGACGAATATTGTTACTTCAGCGAATCAGTTGAATAGTAATAGACACCATTATGGAATAATTAAGTACCTGAAATGAATGTCCTTTTTATCGGAAGCCTATCTTTTGTATTATTGTCTCCAATTTTCAATCTTTGGCTGTGATTTCCCTTCGGTTCTTATAAATAATCATTATTTTTCGTGTTTCACTTCATCAGTGCAAATAATAAAAGGAAAAGTTCAATAAAACCTTGTTATGGCTCCATACAGTCTTAAAAGTAAATTGAGATGCGACACAGACGTGCGTACAATCAACGCACTACAAATTATGCAAACGTTGTTGAAATAAAAACGATTATTATTTTTATCAAATTATCTAAGAACAATTCGTTCAGGCCAGTCTCAACTCCCTATACAGTAGGTTAATGGACTGACACCTCTCAGAAAACAACTACTCCCCTGGCTAATACCACGTAAATGCGCAACTATGCCCCAAATGCACCATCTTCGTATCTCTCATAGTTTCCGAGATCCCAATGGTGAGAATCGAATTTAAAACACCCTGTATAATAATTTGAAGCATACGACCTCCTTACTTAGTGACTAATAATTTTATCTGCGTTTAGGTATGAAGTAATGAAAAATTCAAACATTATTAAAGAAATTTTATCAAATCATTAAATGGACATGTAAATGAACTGAATATCAATTTCCATATTAGAAATCCGATTCAACAGAGAAAAAGGATTCCATTCTATTTAGGCATTCAGTAAATTTCTGAATCTATTGATTTTCAAGCATTCCAAAAGATTGATCATATTCGTTCCTCTAACGAATATGATACGTCATAGTGGTGGTTGAACTCATGCCCCTCTGCCAGAAGCGGCTCATCTGTGTTATTTTGTTCTCTGATAGAAGGTTCTTCACGTTTGACCCATATAAAGTTTTGGTCAAAAACCACGAAGCAACTTATATACTCTTGATCTTTCTGGCACTGAATATATATGTTTAAAATATGTTTCTCCGTTAACCAGCTCTGTCACACCCCTACGAGCGACAACCCTCAGAAGTTCAAACTTGTGCGAGCTTTCATTGGTTTCAATGAATTTGCTTGAATTATTTTGTTCTGAGAGGTACGTTAGAACTTTCACTTTCAAAAACGTGCGATTTTATTTGTTGGTTCACCAAATTGGGTCAGTGCCCTATGACGCTTATTTTCGTTTCTTGAAGTGAGATAGACCGGTTGACTAGTTGTTATCATAGTTCGTGGGATAGGGCCTGACCAGTGCACACTACGGTGAAAAAAAATACTAATATTAATAATAATAATGATATAGGGCCTGACCAGCGTACACTACAGTGAAAAAAAATTAATAATGATAATAGCCCTAAGAGTGCTATATTATCGTCTACGGCACTCTTACGGTATTGATGAGACACCGGTATTGCCCTACGCTCCGGGGGATATTGAATCCGTTGTGGGAAACGAGAAGTGAGGGTGGGGAACTATTCGTTCCCCACCCTCAGGTCATACAAGCTAATAAGTCTGATGTAGTCCTTCTCGACCACCAGAGCAAAACGATATTTGTCGTGGAGTTTTCAGCTCCTGGCGAGACGAATATCGTCAGAAAAGAGGAGGAAAAACGGATAAAATATCGAGATTTNTTCCACAATGATTCGACATAAATCTCAGTGCATAACAGTTCTTTCGTAGTTTATCACATAGTGAATCTATATGAGGACCCCAATTCAGCTTATGATCTAGAATTAGACCTAGCATTTTTGTTTCTGGTTTGGATGTCACCTCTAGTTGGCTATCTTCATATATTTTGAGAGTTTCGGTGGTGTTCTGCATTAAGAATTTTACTAATGCTGTTTTGCTGATTTTTATCAGCCAATTTCATTATTTTCTCATATATGCAAGACTATATTTTGAATGAAAACGTGAAGTATAGGGAGCCATTTTATACTGGTAGAGGCAACTTGACGAGAAAAAAATA